CAACAGTTTATAATCACATGTAGTTAGATGGCTTGATGGTTATGATTTTGAATTTTTTACTTGAGGTCCCAAGGTCGGATCCCCTTGGGTACCCCCTTGGGCATGTGTTGCATTTGAATCTCCTTGGGCATGTGTTGCATTTTTTTTGTGTATATAGTGGTTGGTATAAATATTTTTGTTATTTTCGAATCCCCTTGGGCATGTGTTTCATTTTTGTTGTATATATAGTGGTTGGTATAAATATAAATATTTTTGTTGTGTATATAGTGGTTGGTATAAATATAAATATTTTTGTAAATAACATAAAAGACACAAAAAAATGAAAAATAAAAAAATTAATTTTTTATATAACCGTTTATTTTTGTTGTATATAGTGGTATAATTATTTTTGTAAATAATATGAAAGGTATAAAAAAAATAAAAATAAAAAGTTTATTCTATTTGAAATCTCCATCTTTCAACTAACAATCTCTTTTACTAAATTTATTATAGAAACCTAAAAAAATAAATTTTTGAAAAATTGAAGTGTTATTTCCAAAATTTGTACGCATTTTATTAATTATTACAGTGATAACCAAATATTTTATTTTATTTATGAATTTTTACATTATAAATCATGTAATGTACTATTTTTCTTACAGTTGTCAATAATACATTTTAAATTAGATAATATTATAAAATATTTTTAATTTGTTATTATTTGTCTAATAAAATAATTATAAAATGTAAACTAATAATTATAATTTCAGTATATAATATTATAATTAGTGAGGTTGTAATAATTTTGGATTATAGTTAGTTAGGCTGTAATAGTTTGGGTTTTTTTAGCGGGTTAGGGTTTTTTGCCAAAACGAGATTTTAATGGCCATTCTTTCATTGATTAGTCTACTCTCTATAATAGTCCATATATAATTATATATTTTATCCATGATAATTCTATGATTTTTCTTTTATGTGATGCAAATTTAATAGTTAAAATAAATTTATACAGGGAAAGAACATCTCAATATTCACAAATTGATAAAAAAAATGAAAGTTAATAATGTAGTACCCTCATTTTTTTATTGGATTCCTAAAAAACAACATTTATAATGAATTTTAATAATTTTTTCGGATTTTTTTGAAGCTTTAATCGGACAGATTCCCAATCCGGATCGCCGATTCGCCGATCCGGATCGGTTTTTGAGGTGCCCGATCCGGGTCATCGATCCGTTTTTTAAACCATTGGTCGGCATCATTTGTCATTTATAACAAACTGTAACATGCATTGTCAGGCTATGTTTTATTAAGTTGTTGAATATACCATTTCTCTAGACTTGTTGCACCCATTAAAACATTGTATCACTGATATGTATAACTCTTTATAGACAACCCCAGAAATTATGTGACATGGGTTCTTAACTAAGGGAATCAAGGTATGCTTCTCAGTCATAGCCTCAAGCAGATATATGCTTTGTGGGACATAGAAATGTGATTAATTGGCCAAATAAATTTTGAGTATGGCATGTGCTGTTTTTCTCGGGTGTTGCAACTCAAGAGACTTCTGCATTGGGAAAGTAATAAAAGAATTCCTGGAGCATCTGCCCCTACACCATTTCTATAGCTATTCTAGCATTGCTTTGATACTTTCCCTTCTGCTTAGGTCAATAAAGGAATGTAGGAGGAATCCCATAGTATTTATTTAGCACCCTGGTTATCATGCAGGAGCTTCAAGCTGAATACCTTGGATGTTAAATATTGAATCTAATAGTTTAGTCCTTTCCTTATATAAAAGTTTTACAAATTCATGAATAGCCTGAAGACCCCATGTTGTTTATTTCAGTGGTTTGTGTTTTGTTCCTTCATTTTGGATTTTATAAATTTGCTCAATTTTTTGCCATATCAACTATAAGTGTCAAGGATGAAATAACTTGGCCTAGGAAAAAAGAATTAAAAATATCTACCATGTGTATGATTTTGCTTTGCAACACCTGAGAAATATAATTTTCTCCAATGCAGGGAAGATGCTGGGTTTGTTGCAAAGAAAGGAACAGGAAGCCCTGACTCTGAGGCTCAGAGACATGTTCTCCAACGGGAAGTTTTGGAAGCATTATTTAATGTCCCTGAGAGACCTGAACAGGAGCCAAAGCTTTTAATGCGAACTAAAGAAATGAAGCAAAGAATGGTAATCATACAAGAGGCTGAGGCTACACCGACTGCTGATGTGGAACCGCAGCAAGTTTTGGAAACTGGTAGAGCGACTTCACTTTGACTGCAAAATTGGGAAAACTGCAATAATTTGAACTTTTCTGCAGCAGACAGTAATCATATTGTCCATCTTTAGGGAGCACCCAATGTATTTTGTTTCATCTGTAACATCTAAGGTTGTTGTTGCTTCTCCTTTTAACTTTGTTCTACAAATATTATATCGCCATAAAAAATAGTGCTTTTTCTTTTGTCAATGTCATTGGATCTTATCATAAAAAAAATATCATTGTATCTTGATACCTGCTTGAATATGTAGGGATATGTATCTCACTTATTTTTCCTGTTAATATATTGGAAAAGTGAAATAGAAAGTAAGAGCTATCTAAACACAATACAATGGTTGTAACTTGTTTTATCAGTTGAACTTCCTGAAAGCCAATGTAATTGGGTTGGTTCTCCCAAGTGTATAGAATTATATCATCTTTTGGCATTCATCAAATTTCTTTTAACCATATCTTTCTGTTCAGCTAAAGTAGATGAGGTTGATGAGTATGAAGTCCTTAGAAGAACTGTGAGGCAGCACTGGGAAACAATGAAGACATATTATCATGCTGTAAGCTCGCTTCCAACTCTTAGAAATTGATGTATTTTCTTTATAAAGTTCTCTCTGCAATTACATTTTCTTTTCCAACAGATAAAGAATTACTTTTCACACGATGTGCAAAGAATGCATAGTGTATAATAGTTTAAATTTCTCTACAGGCGGCAGAGGCATACTCCAATGGGAATATATCCCATGCCAAGTATCTTTCCGAACAGGTATGTGTTGACGTTATTACTGATGGAAATAAAAAACACTTCTTGTAAACCTGAAAAACCTGCTGATTTGTGTTATTGGATATCTAAACCTTAGGGCCTAGTAGTTTTATTAGTGATTGTGTGGTATTATTGTATGATGTTGGTAGTTGTATGTCATTCTCAGTATATCAATCATTTTTTTCCAACATAAATGTTATACGAATTGCATTTTAATAGAGTCCTAATTGACGTTCAAGACATGAATTGAACTACAACAGCCTCCCCTGTTGCAAACTCTCTATCCTCCCCTCAACATGGTGCCAGATTCAGATTAAATCCTACTCCATGAGAAAAGGTTGAACAGGAAAAAATGATCATGTTGAGAAAGGAAACTTCAGGTGTTTGCATACTGGCAATGTGAATGTTAGCCCTAGAGGAATCGTAATGGTTGTTGTTTAGGGCCATTTCTGGTCATTCAACATTTTATTGGTGAGAAAAGTTTTGGGAATTTGTACTGATTTTCTGGGTGCTGTGAAAGGAAATTTGACTAGGCTTGAATTGTGGAAATCCATAGGCCATAGGCTGGATTTCATCTTTTGGGCATGAACAAACCAAGTGCAGTCACCTTTGTCTTTCAAACCTAAGAGGTTTGTTTCAGTATTTCAACCCTTAATTATTTCCGCAAACAAGAAAAGGCATCAAATTTCTTAGTATTGTTTCCCATGGTTTTGAAAAGAAAATGGAATGTTAAACCCCGATCCGGTCAATCATAAAAACCTAATGATGTTATGGCCCCTGCAATCATTTGAGGAGCAAAGAGGTTTTGTTCCTTGCAGTTGTATTGGACAATGGGATACTGTTAATATGTTGTTTTCACAGGAAGATAGCATTGCAATTCTCCCCCACTGACTATGCTGAACTCACCAGTTTTCTATTGATTCATATTCAGAAACTACCATCTATGCTGAAGCTAGTACCCTCATTTGTGGACGAAACTAGAAAGCAATAAAGGAATTGAATCCTTGAGATTAAGACTAATACAAGACTTACCAGTACATGATTTGGGAACTGGGAACATTGTACCACTCCCCAGAATAAAACATGCAGGAAGAGTGTATGTATTGAAGTCCAAATCAGATGGATCCGTCAAAACTTAAAAGATGCAAGGTAAGGCTAATAGCCAAAGGATTCACTCAGAGGTGGCTGTGAATTACAATGAAACACTTGAATTAAGTTAATGACAAATTGGGAGATAATTGAGGAATATCAAAATACTTCTATGGTTAAATTGCATAACCAAGAGAAGGCAAAAATGTCCTTAAAGCAAACTATAGTATCTAACGAAAATGTGAATAATATGCATATGATATGCTCACAATTATTTCGTTAAGTTGCATGTGCCTGTACCTTCCCTAAAAATTTTTATTGCAAATCCTTAAAAATTTGTAGTTCTTTAGTTTTCTGCATCTTTGTGATGGTGTTAAATTTTACCAGGGAAAATTCTACAGCAACAAGGCACGTGAATCAGATGAAAAATGTACAAGGAAAATGTTTGAAGTCAAGTAAGTGTATTTAAGATATTGTTTATGATTTTTTGGTGTCAATGTCTATCAGTGATTATCTAACATGGATTTATCCATGAAATGATTTTCAGAAATCAGGACATAAAAAATGAAGTTACCCTTGACCTACGTGATCAACATGCAAAGCAGGCCCTGCGTCTTCTAAAGTTTCATCTCTCAACACTTTCTAGCATTCCATGTATGGGATTACACTATTGTGTTATTGCCTGATTAGATTGATGCTCTTAACAATATCATTGTCTTACTAATTTCTATTGGCAAACATCCAATCAACATAATATTACAAAAGGATGACATTTCCATTATAAAGGTTATAAAAGTTGCATCTGTTATTTTTCCCAGCCATTCAGTTCCTCAAGGTCATTACAGAGAACAACAGCGAAAACATGACAAAAGGGAGTCGTAAACGATTGGTAAGACTCCTCCTTGATTTTGATCAACATTGCATTTTATATTTGCTTATTTCCCTGATTGATAAGATCTCACTTATAGAGAAAACCAATTTTTTAATTGGTTGATTTCTACTAGTAAAGTATCACTTAATTGCTTGGCCAACTTACTGAACTGTGCATGTTGTTCAAATGCAAGTATGATTTTTATTCTAGTACTGAAACACGCACACACACTCAATAGCCCACTCGACAATGGAACAATGTGAGCTCAACATCGAATCCTCGACAATTTGATAACCAACATGTATGCGAACCATTTAATTTTTATATATTTTTATAAATATGTTGAACCTGAAATTTTGGGGACATCTGAGCTTGACCTAGAAGCACAAAATTAACTATGTTTATATGTGCTCTGCCAAAGGAGAACTGGAAATACGTTGTACATATAATGTGTATGCATGTCAATTATGAGGCCTTGATAGAGCAGAATGGCGGATCAGGATTCGTGTAGCGGACCCCAAATAGCTGGAAAAAAGTTATGATGATGGTGGCGTAAACATTTATGTTAGTTTGCTTATGTATAAAAAGAAGACATAGATGTATTTATCTATTGCTATCCATTCACATCATTGTAAACCTATTATATATATATATATATGAAAAATGCTTCTGTGGGCCATTGGGCTCACAAGAAAAAATGAGCCTAATGGCCCAGATTGAATATGGGTCGATCTAACGATTACGGATGCCCGATAGTGTTTGAATTTTAATTTTTTTTCTACAAATCCAAATCACTTGAAATTTTAGACTTGTGTTGATAAAAAATAGATAAATATTTGAAAAATATTTAAAAAATATTTTACATGAAAAACAAAACCCCATAAATTTTTGGGGGTATTTTGGTCATTTTTAATTTTGCTGATATTTTTTTTATATTTTTATTAGGTGCGGCTTGATGAGAAGAATATTCACTTAAATTTTAAGTAATTTGGATTTGCAGAAAAAAAATTAAAATTCAAACACTCTCTCTTCAGATCGGCCCAGATTTAATCTAGGCCATTGGGCTTATACTATTCTGTGAGCTAGTGGGCTTACCTTATCATCTTCTTATATATATATGGGTTATGTTAGGGTGCCACACTATGGAGTAATTTATCATTGTACTCAACAAATTTTAGGCACCTCTATATCCTTGTTTTATACATAGAACATTTTTTAATAAGGGTATTTTTTGTCATTAGGAGGGGTGTGATGTCATCCACATGGGGTGCGACATCACCCATATGGAGCACACTAAAGGTATTTAATGCTCCATATGGGTGATGTCATACCTCATACAAATGATGTCACACTCTTCCTAATGACCAAAAATACTCTTACTAAAAAAAACTCCATGTACAAAACATGGGCATATAAGTATCCAAATTTTGTTGACTACAATGTTAAACTACTCCATAGTATGAGCACCCCCCTCCCTC